CTCTCTCTCTCTCTCTCTCTCTCTATATATATATATATATATATATATATATATATATATACAAAAAATTATACAAATTTTATATAATTTTCGGCTACAGAATGTAAATATTTTATGGCGCAGCCTAAAAATAAAAATACTTCTCATTTAGGGGTCGTTTGGTAGGATGCATTAGATAAAATAATGCTTGCATTAGCTTTGTGTATTAATAATACCTTGTTTGGTAGACATTTTGAACTTATACATTAGTTATGCAAGCATTAGTTATACATCCTATTTGGTATTATTCTATGCATAACTAATGCATAAAAAACCATGGTATTAGCAATGCAATGGGTTTTAATGCATGGATTAGCATAGTTAAAGACAAAATTGTCCTTCAAAATTTATGCTTGATTAAAATATGCTAGTTATTATATTAATGCAAGTTTAAAATAATTCAAATAGTGAGAAATAAAATTATATCTCTAGTAAATAAACAAATACTTAGCATATTTCCTTTTTTTTATAAATAATATTTAGTTCTATATTACAATATAGGTAGACAAATCAAATAATTTTTTTAAACTTTTTCATATAAAAATATTTTTCAATATATGTTTCTTTTAAAAAGTTTTAGAGTGATGGACTGGTTTTTGAGGGTATTATAAACAAGCAATTCTTTAAGAAATTGTGGAGTACTTTAATACATCAAACCAAATAATGGATAAGAAATATGCAAGCATAACTAATACCAGCATAACTAATGCAAACATAACTAATACCAACATTACTAATATACCATATTAAGCATTATTCTTATGCACCCTGCCAAACGACCCCTTAGGGTTCTCATTTAGGGCTGGGCCTCCTCCTATTACGTTTGGGTTTCCTTGATTCAGTTGGGCTTCTACAACGCCACAATCCACAAATAAAAAGGACTTCGATTTTATCTCTTAGTACCGGAAAATGGAAGAATAATCCGGACGGTGTTAGAAGAGTTAATGGACTCGTTGTCTTTACAATCTCATCTCAGTTTGAGGAGGTAATTTGTAGTTCTCTTTTGTTTTCTTATAACAGATTCTTCATGTTTTAATTATCATAAAGTTTAATTCTTGATTAGTACTTAGTTTCAAAGATACGTTTAATTGGAAATTCGACTGAGTAATTGATGTTCTTTTGTGGTGTTGAAACGATGAAAGCTCAACCAGTACATACCCAGCAAGAAAACCAGGAAGTGCAGTTCCTGAATTTGTAAGATTGCATAAAGGTCCTTCAAAATCCAGATATTTACCACAAAGGTATTGTATGGCCACTGCAAGTAGGGAGGGGTTGAACGGGATAGGAGAAGGCGATGGAGTTATAATTGTGGATCATGGTTCCCGCAGAAATGAGTCCAATCTTATGCTAAGTTAGTTTCTGGCACCTTTCACACTTTTCAATTTTGATACTGGTTTATTATGAGTTTGCTTATAGTTGTAATTTTGATGATAAATGTCAGATGAATTTGTAGCAATGTTTAGGGAGAGGACAAAATACCCAATTGTAGAGCCTGCACACATGGTAAGAATGTTTTTATCCCTCCCTCTTTGTATGATTACGGTTGTGGACCTTGTTGTTCGTTCATTGTTTCATTCCTGATGCCTTTTTACGCGCTGATGTTTGGAATTAGAAAACGGATGAGGAAAGAAAAATGCAGTGGAGAAGGATAAGAAATGAGGAGTCTTCAAGTATGTTTTGATGTTAAGAGCAAAGGTGAAGGAAAATGAAAAATTTAAAAGTATATGTTTTCAGGAAAAAAATTAACAGAAATGGTATCACAGAAAGGGAAAGACAAAGTAGGTTTGGATGTTAAGCACAAAGGCAAAAATATAAAAACAGAAGTATATCTTTTTAGAGAAAAAAAATGATATCCAATCTATGTAAAAGAAAATTTTAGAATATATCTTGTGCGAAAACCTAGGAAATCAAAGATTTTTGGGATTGAAAGGATAGAGGGATCTCTTTAGGGTTGGTGAAGAAGTGGTGATAGGAGTAAGAATGTGGTAGGAATAAGAGAATCCTAATGTTTTCCCTAGCCACAGAGTACAAAACTATAGATTTCTAATGAATTTATTTTCTTTTCCTCGATGAATACTTAGTCCCAAACACAACCTTAAGCTCTCCATTCTCCTTTATATTTAATCTTCTTGAAAGGTTGGAACTCTTATTTTTCCTCTGTATCTCTTTTATGACAAATTAGGAGCTAGCAGAACCATCGATCCGAGATGCATTTAGTTTGTGTGTTCAACGAGGAGCACGTCGAGTAATTGTGAGCCCATTTTTCCTTTCTCCTGGACGACACTGGAACCAGGTATTGTTCGTCTCATGTATTCTAAACTTGTGCTAGGTTATCTAGAATTTCCTTTGATGTATTATGCTAGGTCTTGGCCTGATACCTTTCCCTCTTCAGGATATTCCTTCTTTAACGGCTGAAGCTGCAAAAGAACATCCAGGAGTATCATATGTCATTACAGCACCTCTTGGTCTTCACGAGTTACTTGTCGTAAGTTCTTGTTATGCTTCTGTAGCTTTACTTTCACACCAGTTATTCTTTTCATTTAGATATGGCATCCAACAAATATTGAAACCTAACGTTATTCCTACTCCCTGGTTTGAGGTTTTGGCTAAAAGTATCTCTCAACTAAGGTACATCCTTGTCTTACCTAGTGAATAAAAAACATCCCTGTACTATCCAACTAGTTGCAAGATTCATCCTTCCTGTTAACTTGTGTCAAAAAACTAACGACACCCACAAAAAATGTGATAAGCACGTGACTTTCCCCTAAGTTTCCCTATTATGTGTTATCTTCCACCTTCAGCGAAGGAGATGCTAAGTTTTCTTTCATTCTAAACGGCCTAGAGCTTTTGAGAATTTGCTGGTGCAATGGTGTACTGCAGCATATGGCTACTGGCTTTTGCTGATTTTCGCTGCATGTTATTGGGGTTTTCTGGTGTTAGTGTAGAGGTCTCAAGATGTGAAGGGTATACAGGTGTGGAAAAGTGTTTATTGTTGCTGGTTTTTTATTGATTTGAAGTGCCGACAAAAATGAAGTGTTAATTGTATAAGAAACGAAACAAATACTCTTAGGCAGCGGGAGTACTTTTCGTTTAACATACATAATAAGTTTAATACAATAAGTGCAGATAAAACGACTAGTACAATAAGGTTTTGCGAGTTTTTTCCTCTTTCACTTCTCAACTTTCTTTCGAATTTCAAGACTATTTGTTGCTCTTGTTGTAACGATCTTTAAGTCGTGCCTCGCGATCAACCACTATTCCTGAAAGCTAATGGATCACATGAACGGATCTTCCACTAGGCTCTTCATTGCTCCAATTAAAAGATTTGCATGGTTTTCTTTTGCGGGAAAATAGAAAAAATTTAAATATCTCCACGCATGAAATGGTCCTTGATGTAAAATTGTAACCGGAAAAACATGCTAAATATTTCCATCTCAAAAAAACATGCTAAATATTTTCTTTCGGGGCGCAATATGTAGTTATATACCATGACTGATGAAACTAACAGAGTAAAGAAAACAAACATTCTAGAATTGACATATAGTGTGTGAGCACCTAATTTTTGCCTCACATAGGAAATTACTCCTAAAAATAGTCCAAAAATAATTTTAATTGTTTTTATAAATTTTAGGAGTTTTTGTTTTATTTGTTTTGCATTTATTCGCATTATTCATGCATATTTAGAAATGTGTTAAATCATAAAAATCATCAAAAATAGAATGTTTCAAGTTGATGGTTATTCTAACTTTGGGCTTAATAATGGGCATGAATACCACGCTAGCCTAATGTCCCTATTTATTCCATAATTATAATAATCAAATCTTACACCCTTCCACAATAATTTCCTTAATCAATGGCCTTTCACTAATAATCTCAAACTTAGGAAAGGGTGTAATTTATGAATATTCGTAGTATGCTTTAGTCGCGTTCTAATTTATTATCGTGATTATGTATATGTTCGCGTGACATAATTATGATTTTCCACAAATAAATCAAAGTACGCGTTCGTGCGACTTTGGCCGAACAACCTTAATAATTAATAAAGTGTGATAAATTGTGTACACGTTCGCGTGACATGATTTCAACGCCTCAAATAAAACGGATTTACACACATGTAATCCGTTTCAAAGATTAAATCCATAGCGCCATAATTAAAAACGGTAAAAAAAGTAAACGTACATAGGTTCTAAAAATGAGTAATTAAACAATTTAATTAAGCCAAGTATGATTAAAGCGACCGTGCTAAAACCACGGAACCCGGGAATGCCTAACACCTTCTGGTTTTCGCGTGCTTTAAAACAAAGTCAAATTTTCTCGATTTGGGATTTAAAAATAAACCGGTGACTTGGGACACCATAAAAATTATTCCAAGTGGCGACTCTAATTAATTAAATAATCCCATTTCAAATAATGTCACTGTAATTGGAAAAACTCCCTATTCTTCGGAAAAAGGAGGTGTGACTGTGTGCGAAGTGATTAAAACACTAACAAGTTAACCAGAGTAAACTAACGGAGAAAATGACAGCGTAGCAATACAATTTTTGTCAAAAATCATAGCTCTTCTCAGTTGGTAATGGTGTAGCAGAGTTGGAGAGAGTGGTTTCTTTCCCAAAAGCTCTAGGCCGTTTAGAATGAAAGGAAAATCAGCATCTTCTTTGCTGAAGGAGGAAGATAATATACATAATAGGGAAACTTGGGGGAAAGTCACGTGCACGTTTTTTGCGGGCGTCGTTAGTTTTTTGACAGAAGTTAACGGGAAGGATGAATCCTGCAACTAGTTGGATAGGACAAGGATGTACCTTAGTTGAGGGATATTTCTTAGCCAAAAACTCCCCTAGTTTGCATTCAAGCTGGTGAGATAGACCAAAATTTGCACTTATAGTTGCTTACCCTCCTGTCTTTCCCATCCATTGACCTCACGGCAGTTCTTGCCTAACTATGGATTTTCTTTCTTAAATGAGTTGGCAACTGCTTTTTCTTTCAGTCTGCTGGCACTTGTATCAGGAAACCCTTTAATTTATTCTTTGTTCCTTATGAATTATCATTCTGTTTTCTTTTGTGTCAATGGCTTTGCTGCATCCTATTTAAATCCCATTCTTTTCTTACTCAAGTAACTCGCAAACGTTTATGTCATGGGATGACCCATGATGGTCAGATGTTTTTGCATTGACATCCTTCCATGCTAAAGCTGTTAGGCTAAATTTTTAGTCCTAGACGGTTGATTTAAAAACAGCCAAATGTTTTCTCATTGAAATTCTTCTATAGAAAGCTAATAGGTTAAAATTCTAATTCTAGAAGATTGTTATTACAGGACGTTGTGAATGATAGAATCAAGCATTGCTTAAATCATATTGCTGGGAAAGCAGACGAGTGTTCAGTTTGTGCTGGAACAGGAAAATGTCAGCTCCGCCAGTGACATACTTATGAAGCTTAGCTAGGCTTTGTTATGTAGAAAGAATCTATTGCTGATGGCAGTTGATTTAGTTGGGTCTGGCTGGCTGAGTGATACTATACCGCTTCTTGAAAGGGATAAATGATAATGGTCAATTATCTCTCCCGCAACTCAAGCATCCAAGTGCTCATGAGAACTTTGATATTTGGGAGTTAGTAATAGCATTTCAACTACAAATGTCGACCGCAGGGTGCTTAGTTTCTCCACTCAGCTGATGGAGAGTTGGGAGAGCAAAGCTGCATTTCAGATTATCCTTGTCTTCTTTAAATAAATTTTCCTAGTGTTGTAAAATACTTCATGTGTTCACTCAGAATATGTACCTCCAAACAATTATAACTTATAAGTTGCCTTCCTTTCTTTGTAATCACAGTTGGCCTCTTTATTCCTCAACAGTTTTGGTTTGAGACCATTGCAGTCTAACAATGAGTTTTACTGTTTTTGTTTACTCATTACCATAAATTAACAATGATTTTTATCACATGGGTTGTAGCCGAAATTGCTGGGTATTGTATTTAGCTTTTCTTGTCAACAACAAGCTCTTTTTTTTTTCAATGATGGATGAGCTTGCTGGTTGCTCTCCGGTTTCATTCATGCTTGAATTTGGCACTTTACATATTTCTATTATATAGAAACATGAAGAGTTTCGACGTGTGTTCTTAAAGGCATAAATTTCAAATCAAGGGCATTTAGACTTTTAGTAGTACTGGATTATGCATGTCTCTTAATTTGTAAGTAGACTGCCACGTTGCTCAAATTATCTATCTTCTCGATCGTTTTCTTCATCTAGATTCAAGAGCATTCTGCTCCAACTCTTGTTCTCACTCTTTCTCTATTCTTTGCCTCTGGAGTCACCTGATCTTTTCCTTCGCGTGTCACTCGATTAATACTTATGCTTCAGTATGTGGAAACTCGGAGAAGTTTTCAAAATAAAGATTCTGCGAAATTGAATGACCGACTTTCAAACCTTAATTTTGGATCCATTTGAGGTAATCACGTATTTCAAGGTTAGTTCTATCCTCTATTTTGTTACTTTTGTTGGTTCATTTTGTTACCTGTAACTATAGTCTATATTAATTGGGGTTTTGCAATTTGGATCGATACTGATATTTGCCAATTTGTGCTTTTGATGGTTGAAGCATATTTTCTAGGTTCTTTTTATGATGAATTGAAGGAGTAGGGCTTCTAATTCAGTTTCTCTGCTTTTTGGAACCAAGCTAACTGATCAGATTACCTTTTGCAAAGGAGCACACTTTCTTTTTCTTTTCTTCTTCCAATCGCTACCCTCTAGGGTAGGGGTAAGGTCTGCGTACACACTACCCTCTCCAGACCTCAGTAGTGAGATTTCACTGAGTTGTTATTGTTGTTGTTGTTTTTCTTCTTCTTCTTCCAATCGCTAAGCCCATTGCTAATGCTTAGATAAGTTGGTCTCATTATGACGCTTAATGGCCATTGTGTACCTCAAGTACTCTCCTATCATATTTGGACTTTTGAGTTTAAAGTAGGATCAATCTAGAGATGATTTCTGAATTTCCTTTTGACGTAAGTTGGGTAAGGTAATCAAGTAACAAATGTTTGACACCATAGCCACTTTCTCGCTGTTCCGTCACTCAATCAAATTTTAACGGTGTTCCTTTTAAATTGGTTATACAATGTTACTCTTCAAAAATTGGTTATCTATATGTTCCAATTGAACTGTCTATGTCTAAAGTATTCACTACAGTTTCTATTGATCTAACCAGATCTATTTTGTACTTTATAGTTTGCGTATCATGAGATTGATATCATATTATTCCAAGTTATACGATATGCAAAATTAATACTCCCTCTGTTTCAATTTATGTGAACCTATTTGACTGGGCACGTAGTTTAATAAAAAAGAGAAGACTTTTGAACTTGTGGGGTAAAATGAAGCACATATATTTTGTGTGACTATAAATCATTGCATAAAGGTACATTGTTTCCAAATAGGAAAAAAGGTCATTCTTTTTGGCACGGACTAAAAAGGAAATGAGTTCACATAAATTGAAACGGAGGGAGTAATAGATTAATATAATTTTCCTTTAAAATGCTGCAGAGATTAATGACTTCAAGCCTATTTTGAGTTAGAGAATGTATATATTTTTCTCTTGTTTATTGATGTTTTTCCAATTTAATTCCTAAAAATATAGGAAAAAGAGATATCTTATCTGTTGCTCCATCCGTTCCAATTTATGTGAACTTGTTTGACTGGGCACGGAGTTTAAGAAAAAATGAAGACTTTTGGAATTTGTGGTCCTAAACAAGTCTAAAAAAGGCTCAGAGTATTTGTGTGGTTATAAAAGCTTCTCATTAAGGGTAGAATTGTAAGCTTAAACTAAATTGTTATCAAATTTAAAAAGGGGTCATTCTTTTTGGAACGGTTCCAAAAAGGAAATAGGTTCACATAAACTGGAATAGAAGGAGTTTCTCTTATCTCTCTGAAAAAGACAACGAAAAGCTTCAAGCCTTTCTCCAATGAACTTTGAACATATGTGTGCAGAAGCAATGCTTGGTATGAGTGATAGGTGCCTTCTTCATTGTTGCCTAAGTCTGCTGTTATTATCCTGGCTTTTAATTTGTGAAAGTTTGGTGTATGTGGCTGCCAGGCATGGTGTTTGGGGTTTATTGGATATAGTTGCTGAAGGTCTGAGTAGCTTTGAGGCTGCCATGGGATAGAGCTGAGGATCGTCTTCTAGCTCTGATAAATAGATGTCTCCTTGAGTCTGTTAGTACAAGCGAAGGTTCATTCTTGTAGTGTTTCTTATCTTTAACAGACTGGTCAGGTCTCTCCCACAGGTTAGTTATATAGCTTTTTACCTACTTTTGACTTAAACACTGTAGTTTTTCATTCTAATTTTCTACAAATACTCAGTAATATTGTATAACATATCAAACTTTTTTAATTTAGCACTTAAGTTATTTTTAATGAAAATGGTGAAATATAACCCTTTACTATTGGATATTGTTTAAAGTTTTCCGCCGTTATATTATTCGATCGAATATACCCTTACCGTCTAACTATTGATCAAATATACCCTTAATTTGACAACCGTCTAGCTATTGATCAAATATACCCTTAATTTGACCGAAGGGCCACGTGGAGGGCTTCTAAGCCATCTTATGCCCCAACCCATTACCTATGCTCAATACCCGATACCAAAAACTCATAACCCTACCCTTCCCAACAGCTAAATAATTGAACAAATTCCTTTGCTCGAAAACTTCCAAAAATAGAAATATACTCTTTGTTTTTTGATGTTCTTAATAAACGACTTAGAAATCCTTTCCTGAAAGTGCAAATCTGAGTTCAAGTTTCTGAAAATCGTTGAATATTATTGTAGAATGTCATTATTGGGAGCTGAAATTCGTGATTGAACATTATTGGAGAAAAGAAAGAAAAAAAAAGGTGTTTCAACCACCATTGACTCCACTTTGAGCTTGGTTCAGAACTTAAAGATCTGAAGTTTTTAAATCAAAATCAACTGGGTGAGTTTTAAAGCTGTTGTAAAAGCTTGATAGAACCTGAATTCAAAATGGATCTGATTTGACAAGAACTTGATCGAAAATTTTTGAAGCCTAATCTGTGGAGAAGATGCACTGGGTTTCTTGACCTCAATCTCTTATTGCTGAAATTGTTTGTTGGGTCTTGTTCAGTGTTGTGAAAGCGTGAAACGAGGAAAAGCGACAACCCCATTTCACGAAAAGCGAGAAGCGAAGCGCTCACTTTTTTTAAGTGAAACGAAATTAAAAAAAAAAAAATATATTGCATAGATAACACATGTAATTGTAAGCAAATGTTCAATACTTCAATTAAAAAACTTAAGAGTAGCATCAATTAAAGTACAAAATGAGCATCCTATTCTTCTACTAGATTGTCAAATTCTTGTATTCCACTATCATTATTATATTGCTCGTCATCTTCTTCAACTTCATCTTCTTCATCAACTAGGAGCAAAGTAACTGCATGTTTTCCCTTCCTCTGTGAACTTGAAGTTGAGGTACTCCCCCTCAAACCATAAATCCTCTTCCCAATTCCACGCGCCTCCGCAACATCACCCCAAGTGAAATCAGAAGTATCCTCAAATACTTCTTCATCTGCATGATCTTCCGGGACTCCAGTTAGCCATTCATTAGCATCATCGATGTTGTCCAAACTAATTGGATCAATTACATTGCGAGCGCTGTAACGACACCTCAATGTTCTATTGTATTTAATGAAAACTAGATCACTGAGACGCTTCAAGGTTAGTTTGTTCCTCTTTTTGGTATGAATCTGCAAATACTAAGTAATTAGTAAGATTAGGACAATTGAGATATAATTTAATTATCTCAATATACTAAATCTTTCTTATTAGTTCTTACATGTTCAAACACGCTCCAATTCCTTTCACACTCGGATGAGCTACATGTTAGACTTAGAACCTTGATGACAAACTTTTGTAAATCTAGAGTGGAATGACCATATTGCTTCCACCATTCAACTGTAGAAGTAGAACAAATTTTCAAAACATAATATTGATAAAAAAATAAGTTATTAACTATAAAACAACATATAATCACTCGCTCACCTGGTGATTTCGTTTTTCTTTGTCTAATGGCCATGTTTTTTCCAAAAAGTAGCTCAGCATTCCTATAAATACTAAATTGCTCTGTGATTTTATCTTGCACGGATTCTTCAGGTATCAACTTCTCAATACATTCATAGTATCCATTCCACAAAGGTTCAACTCCTAGAATCCTCTCTTCATTGTCATAAAACAGTTCCGGGTTCAAAACAAGTCCAGCTCCATGCAAAGGGCTATGAAGCTTACTATCCCACTTTTTATCTATGATCTCAAAGACTCTTTTGTATTTTCTTTGATCACTAAAAGAGGCTTGAATAGCCTCCTTTGCTCTATCAATTGCTTCGTACAGGTAGTCCGTTGGTGGCCTTTGCTCTCCCCCCCTCCACCAAACGAAGCACTTTAACTAAAGGACCACCAATCTTCAATGCATGAACCATATTGTTCCAGAATGAAGGAGAAAGTATAATATCTGCAGATTCTCTCCCTCGAGCTTCCCTTCCATAGGCACTGCTAGTGTACTCATCTATGGATTAGACTTTCCCTTTGATCCTGGCTCCAGTTTGCCTTCCACATATGTTGGCGCTACAAGAAATTTTGTATTTACCCAGTGGAATGCTTGTACTGTGCCCTTGAACCTTGCGTTGCAATATATTGCAACTGTATGCAGATGGGTAATAACAAATAGTGTGGGCTCAAATGTTCTCATAGGGATTGCAATTCATGGTTTTCACATAGATATTGATGATGTTGTTGCGTTAGACGAGCAAGGAGCTTATGGTGAATGGCCACTTGGCCTACCAACAAAGGATTCCCTGGTTGCTGATGATAAAAGAA